GACGATGGGAGCTTCTCCGCCCTCTGCCAGGAGTGCCGCTAGGAGGCAAGGGGCACCCAGGCTACACTGGCCCCGAGGGCAAGTCGGCCAAGGACGGCGGGACGTGTTCGCGGCCCCCGCCTACCCCACTTACACTTTTAATCTACAGGCAGCAAGCGATTTCATCGGTAACTACAGTATAGTCCCTCTCTCTGTGTGTGCTCCGTGCAGCGTTTGCTCGCGGGAGGTGCAGCGTTAGCTCACCAAAAGATTGTAGCGTTCACTCACTATAATAGGCGCAGCGTTTGCTCACCAGCCATTGATACTCTACTTTACGCTAACATGTAGTGCATTTGACAGGCGTGCGAGTAGTCCGACAAACACCACCCAGCGTCATGGAGAGGGCGCTCCAGCTCCGGCAGGACGTGGCGCAGCGACAGTGAAGATCCTTCGGCGACTCGGGCTACTTACGGTCAATAATGCTGTGGTATGTGGTGACGCTGACTGGTGCTGGCAGATGGCCTTGCTAGCGAATCCCGGAGCTGGCCGATGCCTGTGCTGGCGGTATGCGAGGGCTACGGCCATGCCGTCCGCGTCAAGGTTCGGCGTTGTGGCCGCGGTCATGTTGGTGTTCGACGTGTTGCTGTGTGGTGGTGGCGGGCTGGACCTGCATGGTGGCAATAAGGACTTTCGCCGACTCAAGCTTGTTCTGATTGTGAAAGTGCTTGTCTTCGACGACGGTGGACGTGGCCATACGTAGACAATTGGAAGGTCTCTTAAAATGTATATATATGGAATGTGAACGTTGTACCTGTTTCAGATTGGATATACATTATTTCCTATTGGTATAGAGTTTATGAACAATGCATACTTGATAAATTTATCTTTTAGCTTCAAGTAATACAGCCAATTTCAATCATAAAAAATGATTGCCTCCTTAAATCGAACGTATACATTAATGTGTAGTAGGTACGCAAGAGTACAATTGAATGGCGGCCCGCCATACAGCCATACAGCAAATTCTGAAGATGGAGGTTGGTAACCTTCTTGGGGAGTGGAATCATGAAGACTGGGAAGTGGTCGACGACGACGATGACGACGCTGTGGCTCCAACAACTACATCAATAACATGAGAAGTGACAGCGGGCTACACTTGCGCAAACGCGAAGCCACTCAACAAGCGTACAATCACCATGGCGAGCGAGGATTGCTTGGTCTTTTCGTTACTGAAAAGCTGAAAGCAACATGGAGAGCATGGCTAAAGAGGTGAAGCACGTGCGACCGTAAGCGAAATCGACGCGTATATTGGGTTGGAAATGACGATGAGTCTAGTCCCAATTACAGACATAAGGAGTTTTGGTAAAAAAAACATTTCAAGGCCCACAGACTTCAAAGCAACAATGAGCACAACTCGCTTTCAAGTGATTCGGGGCTCCTTTCAGATACATCCCCAGAATGACAATTACCACGAGCTTGCGGACACAGCAAGTAGCTCGGATACCGAGGCGGCGGCGGCGGCTGCAGCATCTAAAGCCAGTGTAGCACGGGCGGCAGCGGCGAATGCGGCAGAGGCGGCTGCAGCAGCTGAGGTAGCAGCTGACGCAGCCGAAGCAGCATTAGTTGCTGCGGAGGCTGCTGCAGCTATGGTCGACAGCCTACATGGTAACGACACCGTTAGAATGAGAGCCGACGGCCGGGATAACGAGATGACTGGAAATTCGATCCAGGGGGGAAGCGCAACTGTTCAGGAGAGACAAAGCTCGGAGGATGGACGGAAAGCAAGACAAGATCCACTCCGTCACAGTCGGCTGCTTCTTCAACATTTTCAACGGAAGTTTGCATCCATTGCTGTTCCTTTTGGGATCAGCAGTATTGATGAAATTGGAGTGCGAACAAAGGCTCGAACGTTGGCGAGGCCCTTTATGCCGTTGAAGCCCGACAAATTCGCCATTCGATTCTACGCAGTAGTCGGCTGGGAATCCCTCTACGTACACTCGTTTTGGGATAATGGGTCCGGCAATACGATGCCAACGACAGCGGCTCAAAGATACACTCATCTGTTTCCCAGCCTGCGACATCCTCTACACGTTACCCTCAACCGACCCGACATACCTGTTGACCCCAAAGCTGCCGCGGCGCTGTGGGTAGCAATGATCGCGCACCAAACCAAGTTACACCAATCCACGACAGGAAGACGTCTCGTGGTTAGTGACAATGTTTACACTCGTCACGCTCTGGCAAGAGCTGTATTTGAAATGACGGATGGCGACGTACGCATGCTCGGGACCGTTCGACAAGATTGGGTTGGAAGGCTAAATCGCGTTGCAGTTGGAGATTCAATGAAACGTGTTGCACAGATGCCTAGAGGGTCTTGGGAGCTGATCGCTGCTGTGGACAGTGAATTGGACTCGAAGCAAGCGCGCGCCGCTCATGCAAGGAGGAAAAAACAACTTCCTAAGCACCTCCAGACGGCATACGCACCACCGGTCCAGTTCGCGGATCGTGCAGGATTCATTGTTTTTCACGACAAACAGCCTGTCATCTTCTACACCAACGACTTAGCAAGGACCCCAAGTGCTCGTGTTCTTGGTGGAGACAACGATGAAGCAATCGAGTGTTGTAATGGGTTGTACCCAATACGGCGTTGGACAGGAAATGAGGTACTGCACCGGACAACCTTTATGGCTCCAACCCCCGTTGCTGCCTACAACATTGGCATGAACGGCGTTGATCGCGTGGACCAGCTTCGCTCAACCAATTCTACCCGCCGAAAAGAAATGCGCCTCTCGATGAGAATTTTTACATGGCATCTGGATCTATCGATTTTCAATGCATTTCCGTTGATGGGGAACATTGAGAAAAAGCCAAACGCTCCAAAAACTCTACGAGAGTTCAAACGACGTGTTTGTGAGTCGCTGACTACAGGTCAGCTATGGTTCAAAGAGAAGAGAAGACCAAGAAACGACGTCAAGCGGATATAACGCCCGATCACACTGTGCACGAGCTTCACATTCTCACACCGAACAGCAAGGAGCACTCCAGTGGAAAGTTGGTCTGCCATTTGTGCAGCCTACAAGGGTTAAAGGCCGCGAAATCATCTCTTGGATGCTCCCATTGTAGCGTCGGGTACCACGCTGCTTGTTTTGCCGTTGCGCATTACAAAGACGCATTTAAACATCCAACTCCAAGCGTTGCTAAAGCTCTACAAGCGATTCGAAACGCTGAGGATGGCGACGCTCCGTCAAAAACCCGTCGCCGGTTGAACAATTCTACAACATCGCTGGACGGACTGACACTACCAAATTAAGTTTGTTTTTTTTCTTTTCTATTTTTTTATTTCTACGACGCCTTCACCACACTATTACACTCATAATCGATCGACACACGATAACACTCATACTTGGACTGTTCACCTTTTTCCGCTGCCACGGTGTCGCAACTTAGCAATATCTCTTGGTACTTTACGCAGACTCAGTCGAAATGACCGGAGCCATCGCTACACACCGGCACCAGCCAGCAGCATTGTGTACACGCTCACCAACACCGCTTAGCAAACACTGACGCAGACTATTATCCGCCAGCATCTGCGTCGTTGGTCACCACGGGCATACGCTCACAACATCACGCGCCAGACCATGATCACGTCCAGCGACTAACGGCTTCCCACCGAAACAATGACACGGACGTCACGGCCGTAGTCCTCGCACACCACCAGCACCGGCATCGGCCAGCACAGCCATCCGCCAGCACGATCATCCCATCCGCCAGCACCATTCCTTGACAAACTAGAACGCCCCGTGGTCGCGTCCACCATCATCGCAGACTAGCCCTTTCACGATCAGAACAAGCTCGAGTCGCCGGAAGTACCCATCGCCACCGTGCAGGTCCAGCCCGCCGCCACCACCCAGCAACACGTCGTACACCAACATGACCACGGCCACAACGCCGATACACTGACGCGGACGGCATGGCCGTAGCCCTCGCATACCGCCAGCACAGGCATCGGCCAGCTCCGGGATTCGCTAGCAAGGCCATCTGCCAGCACCAGTCAGCGTCACCACATACCACAGCATTATTGACCGTAAGTAGCCCGAGTCGCCGAAGGATCTTCACTGTCGCTGCGCCACGTCCTGCCGGAGCTGGAGCGCCCTCTCCATGACGCTGGGTGGTGTTTGTCGGACTACTCGCACGCCTGTCAAATGCACTACATGTTAGCGTAAAGTAGAGTATCAATGGCTGGTGAGCAAACGCTGCGCCTATTATAGTGAGTGAACGCTACAATCTTTTGGTGAGCTAACGCTGCACCTCCCGCGAGCAAACGCTGCACGGAGCACACACAGAGAGAGGGACTATACTGTAGTTACCGATGAAATCGCTTGCTGCCTGTAGATTAAAAGTGTAAGTGGGGTAGGCGGGGGCCGCGAACACGTCCCGCCGTCCTTGGCCGACTTGCCCTCGGGGCCAGTGTAGCCTGGGTGCCCCTTGCCTCCTAGCGGCACTCCTGGCAGAGGGCGGAGAAGCTCCCATCGTCCTTGGCAGGGCGTGGTCTGAGGCGACTTTTTTCCAGCGCCGCGATATCTCAACCAATCGGAATGGCTACACGCTCTTTTCGGCCAATTGGAGTTTGCAGATAGAATGTATGCATTATAGTATGCTGCCAATTCACTCCTTTTTGTATATAAACACATGAACAGACGCAACTGTTGCTTTGCGTCGCGATTGCCTGCTCGAGGCATGGACACGTCCGGTCCGGCTGGCGCTGTATGCTCAGGGCGATGGACGATGTAGCTGACCTGATCACAATACCGCCGCTGGCCATGCTGACGAGGTGCGCTGTGGTCACACGAATACAGCGTTCGGCGAACGCTGAACAGATTGCATCAGATGGTATGTTTCAATGCAGGATAGTGGCTATGACGGACAGATCATTCTATCCACTGTTCTGTCCAGGACAGAACCATTGTCCGCTAAAGTACCTGCTTCGATATCCTTCATTTGCACGAGAACTGTGGTATTTGTCCTATTTTCAAGCTAGTTCCTGTGTAGCGCGACAGATTGTCTCTTCGTGGCTGATCCGTTTCCAACGGAAAGCTCTCTACCGAGCAAATTCCAAACTGAGTTCGTTTCCGGTTAGCCTCTCGCTAGTTCTGCTCTCTAACCTACCTAGACCTCCTTTACGTACCTTGGCGCGGTCGCCAACCTGGTCGAGTCGTTGGGCTTGCCTGCACCGTCGGGTACAGTCCTGTAGCCTCCGAGAGCCGGGCGGAGGGTTCCGCTGGAGCAGCCGGCGGATCACTTCCCCCTCCACTTGAAGTCGGTAATCATGTTCGCGACTGGCGCGGGTGGCGTCGGCGGGGAGGACGCTGAACGGGTCGTTCGTCACTGCGGCCGGGAGCTGCCAACGCGGCCGCCATAGTGCTGCGTGAACGGTCTTCGGGCTGATGGGCGACGAAAACCTGAAAGAGGTCAGGCGCATCCTGCTTGATGATGTCGGCTGGTTCCCACGAAGCCTCGATGTCATCAAGGCCGAACCACTTGACGAAGCCCTCCCAACGATGCGAGTCCGGGCTCAGACGGCAGTCGAGCGGCGCCTCAACCAGATGTCCACCCTCGCCATAGATTGCTTGCTCTTGAAGCTCCTCCACGCGCCCACGGGCCGCATCTCGGTAAAGTTGAAGTCGGGAGGCATGGCGAATAGTGATAGCAAATGGCTCGATCATATCTTGGACCTCGAAAGTGTGATCATTCAGCGCCTCGAGGATACGCTTGGGGCCGCGCCACACCAAGGCCAGTTTGTGTTACTGCGGTCAGTTGCTGTCGCCGCCAAGACAAAGTCACCTTCGCTAAATCTGTGCAGCCGCACGCCTTGGCGACGCGCGTGCCGCTCCCGCGCCGCACGCCGGCGCTTCTCGCTGGCGTCCACCATTTCCGCATGCATGTTATCTAGCGCTTCGCGAACAGCGGTGAGGTGACCGCGAACTTCCGAGTCGACCCACGCGATGGTATCTTGCGTTGGAGATTGAGGGTGCAAGATGCTGCGAAGCTGGGAGTCAGCCGGCAGTGCTGTGAACGCTGTCAGGGGCGAGTGTCCATCGAGTCTGTCCGCGGGCATAGCGTTGAGCGCCGCTTGCACCACCGGTAGCACTGCGGGCCAATCTCGGACATGCAGCCTGCGCTCACTGAGAAGGGCCTTCACGCTTTTGAGTACTTCTCTGTTCACCACTTCAACGGTACCATTTGCCCACGGCGTGTAGAAAGTGGTGAAATGGTGGTGCGCACCCAGGGCGCGTTGCAGCCGTTCGACGACTTGGTTCCGAAAGTGCGCTCCCTGGTCGGAGACCCACTGATGCACAACGCCGAAACGCTTGAACCAATCGACGAGACCTTGGTACGCGTGGTCGGACGTTGCATGTGCGCATGCCACCAGCTCAACGAACCCGCTCATTCCATCCTTGAGGACCAACACGTACTTGAAGCCACTCGTGCTCTCGATCATAGTGAGGAAATCGAAGTGCAACACCTCGTTGGGGCGCGTCGCGCGCAATGTTTCTCCAAACGGACGCGGAATGCGCCCGCCTGCGGTCACCATGCAGTCCAGGCACTCGCTGACAAACGTGGTCACGTCGGGGCCCATCGTGCTCCAGAAGAAGCATGACTCGAGCGACTTGAGCGTCGTGGCCGCCCCGCGATGCCCACTGGCTCCTGCGTGCGCCACCACGCATAAACGCTGTTGCAATTCACCCGCCTCGGACGGGATCCACACCTGCCCGGCCGATGTCATCTGTAGTTGTCGCTCCTCGTTCCATTGGACACCGGGGTGCGTTGTCGCTCCGGCCGCTTGCTACACGGCCCGGATCTCCTGCTCGGACGGCCACACGAAATCGGCTTCTTCCAGCGGGGATACGTTCGACGACTGCTAGGCGCGCCACTCGAGTGGCCGTTCGCGTTACTTCTAGCGTAGGCCCCCCGCCCCAGCGGCTTAGCAGGTCGCCCCACGCATTTTCCTCGCCTGGCACGTGTTCGATTACGTAGCGGAACGACATGAGCGCGAGCGCCCAACGTATAGCTTGTCAGCTTGGTAGCGCGCCATCATCCCATCGGTCGCGTAGGGATTAAAGATGTAGACCAAGTTACGGTGATCCGTAAAGAGATGAAAGCCGCGAGGGCGCAATAAGAGGCACTCCAGTCGACGCACAGCTTCGACGATTGCGAATGCCTCCTTTTCGATGGTGGGCCATCGTTGTGCGGCACCGACGAAGCGACCACTAAGGAACGCAAGCGGGTGGTGGTGTTGCTCCGCCCGTGGTAGCTTGAGCTCTTCCGGATCAAGCATCGTGACGACGGCGCCCCAGTAGTCGTTGCTGGCGTCGGAGTACAGACATAGGTCGGCCGTAGGACTTGGGTGAGCAAGCGGCACCATCTTGAGGAGCGCTTCTCGGACTGCTTCCACCCCGGCCACTTCATCTGCGCCCCAGCTGACATCTTCCAGCCTGACTCGGGATAACTTAACCTTCTTCCTCGAGCCGGCGATCTGCGCCGCCCGCTCCAGCGCGTCGTACAGGACTACCGTGATGCGCGTGAATTCTGGAATGCTCTGCCGCGTCCAGTTCACGGCGCACAGAAACCGCTGGAGGTCTCCGGCCGTTTGTGGCGACTGCATCTCGACCAATCCCTGGATTCGTTCTGGATAGTGTCGCACACCTTGAGCTGATATCATTCGCCCACACTACTTCACCTCCGTCGCGAAGAGCTGACACTTCTTCGCGTGGAGTTTGAGGCCAAACTTTTCGCAGCGCTCTAGGACCTTATCCAGCACTTTGAGGAGCGAAGCTTCATCTTCTGCATAGCCCAGGATATCATCCAGCCAGGCCAGAATGCACGTCCCGAGTAGATCTCCGAAGATCTCCTCGACAACGCCTTGGCAGTAGGCCACCGCATCGGTGGCGCCCATGGGCACCCGTGTCGGCGTGTAGATGCCCCTGTGGGTTACAAACGAGTAGATCTCCTGGGAATCGGGGTGAAGCGGCAGCTGCCAGTACCCACGAAACCAGTCGAGGACAAAGAACACCTTAGCGCCCTCCAGCTCACCGATCACGAACTCGAGCACTGGCATAGGCCACGGCATGGGCTCTGTGCGCTCGTTGACACCACGCGCGTCGATCGTCATGCGCGGATCCGCCAACGGGTCGTCAGCCTGCTCCTTCTTCTTAACAATTCGAGGTGCAGAGGCCCAGCTACTCCGATGGTTCTTGTAGATGAGTCTGTGCTTCATCAATGTGGACGTGTGTCTGTCCAAAAAAGCACGATCGTTTGGTGAATAGCGGCGGGGCTGCGCCCGAATTGGCGTCGCTCCGGGTTTCAGCCTGACTTGCATTGGCGCTACGCGGACAGGTGGGTCGTGGCCGAACTCGAGCCGAAACGAATCCGCTCGCATCTGCAGGATGCCCCGAAGCTTGGTGCAGTCATCGAGTGTCAATCCCATCCTCGTTGCTATCTCTACCTTGGCCTCCAGGTAGCGGGTCACCTCTGCCAGATTCGTCGGCTGCAAACACGGTAGCGCTGTACGTGTCTCGTGTCGCTCAATGTCTTCCTCCTCTGCGCCCGGCCCTGGATCCTGCGCCGCCACCGCCAATCGGCAAATGCGCTGGAGCGAAGTGGATGAGGACTGGTCTCTGTCCACCTTCGGTGAAGTGTCTCCCCCAAGCTCCCATTCGGCTTGCGCATCCCGGGCTTCCACCAGTAGCTTGTCCGTGGAGTAACCGAGGATCTTCATGATAGGGCGGCCCACCGTCAGCTCCGTTCTCGAGTTGGCCTCTTCGACATAGCAGGCCAAATTGCGCAACATTATAGGGTCGGCAGACGTAGTGAGGACGATCTCGCTAAACGTCGCCATGCGCTGTACCACCACCTCGCGTCCTCCTACTGGACTCAGCCGCACCGGAGGAATTGCCTGGACAGCGACCGACTTGCCAGCCTGGCTAATCGAGTCGAGGACGCCGCGCGCAACTAGCGACGTGTCGGCACCAGAATCGAGGAGGAGGGCCTTGACGGGGACACCTTCTACAGCCGCCTCAACCGTACCACGGTCTTCGCCGGTGGTAAGCACCGAGTCGCTCGCTGTCACCACATCAAACTTATTCATGCTGATGCCTCGAGCTCCGGCGAATTGCTCGCGCCTCCTTCGCAGCAACTCTGTTGCTTCTTCCGGCGAGCAGTTGATGCTCTGTAGATCCGCATTTTAGGCACGCTCCACGCCCAGACCGTGTCTCTGGCGTCGGGCCCCGACTAGGCAACTCTTGTGGCCGCGTGGACCCATAGCCTCGGCCACCGCGGCCAGGTTGATCTCCACGACCGCCACGAGTACTCAGGCTACTGTGAGCACCGTGAGTTGACGTGTTAGCACCACCACCAGCTCCTCTGCTGGTATTAGCACCCCGACCACCATTTCCACCACGGCCAGCGCCACCGGAGCGAGGCTGGCTTTGCGCTGTCGGCCCCTGTCCAGTTGACGCTTGCGCGGCGTGCTCCCACGTCATAAACTCCTTCATTAGCTGGGTCACCCAGGAGCAAAATGGCACCACCTCGTGTTTGTACGTCTTGTTCTCTGCAGCGTCAGCTTCGTGTTGATAACAGCCTTAAACCCGGGGGGTGCAAGTGCAGCAGCAAGGTACTTCACCAGGCGACGCTGCTCGTGCTGGAACGCGAGGTCCGTGAGGTTGAACTTGTCCAGTATGGCTTCCATATCCGCTTGAAGGTTCATCATGCGGCTCTCCGGCTCGGGCCAACGCGTATGCATCCGCAGCGCCTTTATCGCCTCGTCAACCGAGGTATAGTCCACGTGCGAAGGTGCCTTCGCCTGTAGGAAATAGGCCACCCGTTGCTCTTCCGTGATTGCGCCAGGCAGCTGATTGAACTCGTAGCGGGCAATCATACGCTTCGTCTTGGACTCGATGCAGGCGCCCACGGGCATGGGGAAGGCGCCGCTTCACTGCGTCTGGAGCGCATTGATCGCCCCCAGATACGTCTCGTACTTGTGCATGAAGTCACGACGATCTTGCATCGTGCGCCCCTCGAACCGGGGTGGCTGCAGCAACGCTGGTGCCGCCGCTACCCGTGACGCACCAGCGTCAAGGGCGTACTGCATAGGTGACGCTTGACTCACTGTCTCCATGACTTCATCTTCTCGCTCGAAGGGGTTTGGGATCTGCAACCGCAGACCCGGGGAGCGCGGGGACCTTGATGTCGCGCTCTCTAGCTGCAATTCCGCGGCCCGAGCTGCCAGCTCGTCCACGTTGACGTCGTCTTTGTCTCCCATCTGGTCACGCGCGAAGTCGTTCACGCGGAGCTTGAACCGTGTAGAACTGAGAAACTAAAGTTAACTTTGATCCGTTTCCAACGGAAAGCTCTCTACCGAGCAAATTCCAAACTGAGTTCGTTTCCGGTTAGCCTCTCGCTAGTTCTGCTCTCTAACCTACCTAGACCTCCTTTACGTACCTTGGCGCGGTCGCCAACCTGGTCGAGTCGTTGTGGCTTGCCTGCACCGTCGGGTACAGTCCTGTAGCCTCCGAGAGCCGGGAGGAGGGTTCCGCTGGAGCAGCCGGCGGATCAGTAGCTTGAAGCAGCGGGCAATTGGGCCTCTCTGGTCAGGAGCGCATCAGCGTGTAGTCAGCCTTGCATTTCTACGGGGGCTGTTAGATCTATACGTAGCAAGTGCACAATGGAGAAATGCCGACGCAGCTACATTGCATATGCATTCGCAAAGCGACAGTGTTAACAGTGCATTGTAGAGTTTATCCTATGGTGCCGAGAGTTGCTGCTCGAGTCGTTCGCCTTCACGGACATCAATTTATCGCTTGTGGGTGGTGCATGGTTGGCCTGTACATGGCGCAAAATATCACGCCGATTTATCCTACTTTCCCACACCCACGCGTGTTGTATTTGCTAGAAGTGGTGATCAATGTGCCGAGGCTCTACAACTCGCCGTGATGATGCTGGAGGAGCCCCCAGGACGTAACTGACGCATGCTCGCGGAGGATACTGCGATGTCTGTCGAGTCACCGTTCTCGAGATCTCGACCCGATCCTGCGTACAGTTTATTGTCCAACGAGAAGAGTATTGGGCTCCAACAATAATAACAAGAACAACAGCACTGAGGTCGAGAGCCGACTCGTACTCAACTCAATTGAAAAGGTGATTGCCAACCCGTACCTGCACCAGATATGTCTTGTGCTCAACAGCGTCACGGCTTCGTGTGAGTCATATTACGATTACGTTGATAACGAATAGTACCGAAATTTGTCATGGACCAAGGACCCCTTCCAAGGATGAGGTCGGGGTTCGATTCCCCGACGGCGCATCTTTTGCCAGCTGTTCTTGCACATCCCCCGTCTTTTGCGCGCTTTTGGGCCGATGCGCGTGCCTCACGGCGTGCGGGCAAGCCCCCTCGACCTCTGGCTCGTGGCGATACTTGTTTTCTCCTGTTCAGCTGCGCCTGAACGCAAGAAAACTGCAGACGCAACCACGCGCTCCCAGGGCTAAGTTGGTGGGTTGGGGGCGGTCCACACAGGGTGTTGGACAGTGCGTGGTGTGTTGTCGGTATCGAGTGGGGCGGTGCGTTGGCGTTGGGGAGCGTTTTGTTTTGGTTAGGGTTGTGGTTCTTGTGGGGTTTGTTTGTGGGTAACATGGGTATTGTCTGGCGCGCCGTTGGTCTAATGGTTAGGATTCGTCCCTCCCACGGACGAGGTCGGGGTTCGATTCCCCGGCGGCGCACGCCTTCCCTTGTTTGTCGTGACCGATCAGCGGTCATCGAAGTCTGTGGATTGTTGCTCGGAGCACCTTTTGTCAATTTTGCTTGATGATCCTCTTGCTCGATGCCGAGGGCCCAGCCGCATTTTCAGCGCTGCGCTGGCCCATACCAGTCTCCCCAGGCCCTCAACAGCCGCGCCATTCAGCCTACAGATGTTACTTTGACGAGCAGGACGCCCAGATCCGAGTGCGATAGTTTGTGCTTGCTACACCGACCCTACAGGGTTGCGTTGGGAAAAGCTCACGGGCAGGGAGGGGTATATGCGTAAATCGCCTCATATCGATATGATTCGGAGCTCCACCAGCTAGCAGCGTACCAACAGTCCAACAACAGAGGGGCTACAGAGACGACCTCGACATCGCGTTGAGCGCCTTCCCGCTCCAAGTTGGAGTGGGTGTGCGTATGGCTCGGTGGGGTGCGTGTTCGAGGGTGACAAGCTCGGGTTGACGGCTGTCGAAGCGCGCGATCAATCGAGTTGTTTGAGGTTTTATGATCTCGTGTGCGTGTTTGTCTGTCTGTCTGTCTGTCTGTCTGTCTGTCTGTCTGTCTGTCTGTCTGTCTGTCTGTCTGTCTGTCTGTCTGTCTGTCTGTCTGTCTGTCTGTCTGTCTGTATGTGTGTAGCCGGTTAGTTTGGCGCGCGTGTTGGCGGCCTTGCTGTGTTGTTTGCTTTGATGGGTAGGACAGGCGGTGTTTGATAGAGTATGCGTGGTTGACATGGTTGTTTGTGCGTCGTTTGGTGTGTGTTTTTGTGTGTTTGATCGTGGAATGTGCACCGTTGGTCTAATGGTTAGGATTCATCCCTTCCAAGGATGAGGTCGGGGTTCGATTCCCCGACGGCGCATCTTTTGCCAGCTGTTCTTGCACATCCCCCGTCTTTTGCGCGCTTTTGGGCCGATGCGCGTGCCTCACGGCGTGCGGGCAAGCCCCCTCGACCTCTGGCTCGTGGCGATACTTGTTTTCTCCTGTTCAGCTGCGCCTGAACGCAAGAAAACTGCAGACGCAACCACGCGCTCCCAGGGCTAAGTTGGTGGGTTGGGGGCGGTCCACACAGGGTGTTGGACAGTGCGTGGTGTGTTGTCGGTATCGAGTGGGGCGGTGCGTTGGCGTTGGGGAGCGTTTTGTTTTGGCTAGGGTTGTGGTTCTTGTGGGGTTTGTTTGTGGGTAACATGGGTATTGTCTGGCGCGCCGTTGGTCTAATGGTTAGGATTCGTCCCTCCCACGGACGAGGTCGGGGTTCGATTCCCCGGCGGCGCACGCCTTCCCTTGTTTGTCGTGACCGGTCAGCGGTCATCGAAGTCTGTGGATTGTTGCTCGGAGCACCTTTTGTCAATTTTGCTTGATGATCCTCTTGCTCGATGCCGAGGGCCCAGCCGCATTTTCAGCGCTGCGCTGGCCCATACCAGTCTCCCCAGGCCCTCAACAGCCGCGCCATTCAGCCTACAGATGTTACTTTGACGAGCAGGACGCCCAGATCCGAGTGCGATAGTTTGTGCTTGCTACACCGACCCTACAGGGTTGCGTTGGGAAAAGCTCACGGGCAGGGAGGGGTATATGCGTAAATCGCCTCATATCGATATGATTCGGAGCTCCACCAGCTAGCAGCGTACCAACAGTCCAACAACAGAGGGGCTACAGAGACGACCTCGACATCGCGTTGAGCGCCTTCCCGCTCCAAGTTGGAGTGGGTGTGCGTATGGCTCGGTGGGGTGCGTGTTCGAGGGTGACAAGCTCGGGTTGACGGCTGTCGAAGCGCGCGATCAATCGAGTTGTTTGAGGTTTTATGATCTCGTGTGCGTGTTTGTCTGTCTGTCTGTCTGTCTGTCTGTCTGTCTGTCTGTCTGTCTGTCTGTCTGTCTGTCTGTCTGTCTGTCTGTCTGTCTGTCTGTCTGTCTGTCTGTCTGTCTGTCTGTCTGTCTGTCTGTCTGTCTGTATGTGTGTAGCCGGTTAGTTTGGCGCGCGTGTTGGCGGCCTTGCTGTGTTGTTTGCTTTGATGGGTGTGAGCGCGCAGGACAGGCGGTGTTTGATAGAGTATGCGTGGTTGACATGGTTGTTTGTGCGTCGTTTGGTGTGTGTTTTTGTGTGTTTGATCGTGGAATGTGCACCGTTGGTCTAATGGTTAGGATTCATCCCTTCCAAGGATGAGGTCGGGGTTCGATTCCCCGACGGCGCATCTTTTGCCAGCTGTTCTTGCACATCCCCCGTCTTTTGCGCGCTTTTGGGCCGAT